AAAAAAAAAAAGATGGATAGGCTAACACAGAACTTCAAAGATACTAAAAGTGTAATAAACAAAATTCAACACCCATTCATGATTTTAAAAACCTTTAACAAACTAGAAATGGAAAAGATGGAAAAGAACACTCAATCTGATTAAGACTATCTCAGAAATTTTAAAGAAAATAAAACAGTTAATGATAAAATATCCAATGTCTTACCTGTGAAATTGGGAATAAGACAAGGATGCCACTATCATCACTTCTACTCAACATTTACTGGAGTTTCTAGCCAATGCAATAAAGCAAGAAAAAGAAAGCAAAATGTATTGAGAGTCAAATGTGAGAGGTTAAATAAAGTTTTTTAGAAAAAAAATTAAGAAGACTATCCTCATGACCTAGGAATAGGCAAATATTCCTCTAAAAAAACACAAAAATAACCATAAAAGAAAATTAATAATAAATCAGACTGCATTAAGACTAAGAATTTCATTTTATCAAGACTTTTTTAAGAAAGTGAAAAGGTAACTGACAAAATGAAAGATGTTTGTAATACTTGTATCCAACAGAAAATTTTACCCAGGGCATATAAATAATTCCCAATGAATTAATAAGAAAAAAGACAAATGTAATAGAAAAACTGACAAAACTATTGAACAGGTACTTCACATAAAAGGATATCTAAATGGCCAATAAAATTTGAAAAAGTGCTCAATCTCATTAGTTGACAAGGAAACACAAGGTAAAACCCAATGCAATACTACTACACAGTCACAAGAAAAACCTAAAAAATATCAAGCACTGATAATAACTTGGAGCCACCAAAACCTACAACAGCTGGTGACAGTGTAAATTGAATCCCTCTAGAAAACTGTTTGGCAGAATATACCAAATCTGAAAATATGCATATCTATGACTAACAATTTTATTCCTTGGTATAATCAATGGAAATCCATTTATACATTCACCAAAAGAAAAGTATAGACTGTTCATGGCAGCACTAAAAAAATGAAAACTATTCAAATGCCCACCAATGGAATAATGGATATATAAACTGATATATCCATCCATATAATGGAATACTATATAGCAACGAAAACAAATTAGAACTATACACAATAATATGAACAAATATTGAGTGAAAGAAGTCAAATACAGGCCCAACCACTTATAAATTTTGGAAGTCTTTACTAAGCAAATACATGGTTATAGAAGAAATCAGAGTTGCAGTGATTTTTGGTAACAAATATATAACTATCCATTAATACATCTAATACAACACCTAATATATAAAGAGTTATTTCAAACAAATATGATCTGAATTTTAAAAATAAGCAAAGGAGAGGGGCAGGGGAAAAATCACAAAAGAATATAAATATGTAACAAACATAATGGGAAAACACCCCTAATGGGATATCATAAAATGCAAAAGAAGATAAAATTATTATATATCTTTCAAATGGCAAAGATTTTATACTTGATCAGAGTTCACTAAATAGGCATCTTACCAAGCTCTTAATACTGATATTGGTACAAATTTGCTGGAGAGTCATTTTACAACATTAAGAACCTTACAAGAATTTAGATGAAAGAAATAATCAGAGATATAAACAGAGATTTATTTCAAGGATGCTCACCTTAGCCTCCTGTATAACTCTAAACAAGATTTGAGAAAGAAAAAAATACATTCAACTTAAGGGAATTTGTCTGATAATTATGTCCTTCCTCCTTAGAGCTTGGGGTTGCAGAACTCAGTGGTGTTCTACCGCTTATCTTGGGGAGTAGGATCCCACTAGTTTGAGACTACAGATATGCAGAGACCAAGATTAGGCCAAGATTAGGATTAAAGATAATTGGTGGGGGTGCCTGGGTGGCTCAGTGGCTTGAGCATCCAACTCTTGGTTTCGACTTAGGTCATGGTCTCATGTTTTCATGGATTCAAGCCTCGCGTTGGGCTCCATGCTGCCAGCATGGAGCCTGCTTGGGATTCTCTGTCTCTTCTCTCTCTCTCTGCTCCTCTCAAATAAATAAATAAACTTAACAAAAATTTTTTAATAAAAAATATAATGGGTGATGGTCATTAATACAGACTATTAGAAAATGTACCACTTACCATGCTCCCAACCCTTCCTTATCTTTTACGATTTTCTTAACACATTCAATTGTCTTCTTCAAATCTGGATTCAGTAAAGCTGTGGAAAAAACAGTGGAAAAATACGACTCCACAACTTGGCAGCTAAGTCAGAGTGATGTCAGGGAAGCTACAGGGTACGCATGTTTAGAGAGGCTTCCATATGATTCCAAGGATAAATCTATCCCTAGATTTTTCTCAAGACAACCCTAGGAGGTAGTAGCATGTGGTCCTCTTTTACTAAATCTATTGATTTTTTTCTTGTAATTCTTATCATAATATTTTCATTAAAAATATTTATGTATAGTGAATATGCTGTGCTAAGCAATCTAAGAAGCAGTGGACACAAAATGGTGAACACAATAAATCTGTCCCTGTCCTCCTAGAGTCTGCAGCCTGATAGAGGGAGATAAAGATCAGAGATAAGTATAATACCAAAGATACCTGGCAGGATGGGGGAATGCAGCTTGACATGGGAGCTGATGAGTGGGGGCACCCCATTCAGACTTTCAGGGTCAGGGAGGGGTTATTGGGCCACGTGACATCTAAAAGAGTAGGTAAGGAAAAGGGGTGGAAGGATCACAGAAGGAAAACTGTTCCAGGCAGAAGAAACAGCATGTGAGATGGCCTAGAGGTGCCTCTGGGGAACCAACATGACTAGGCATTCATCACCCCATTCTCTCCTTTGAATGTGGAAGCCAAGACCTCCCACCTGGGTTACTGCAATACCTTCCTTCTTGACTACACTTTGCCTCCTCCTTTCCCTAATCCAGTCTGATCGCTTTTCCTTAAAACAGTACTTCGGGGGCGCCTGGGTGGCTCAGTCGGTTAAGCGTCCGACTTCAGCTCAGGTCACGATCTCACGTTCCTGAGTTCGAGCCCCGCGTCGGGCTCTGGGCTGATGGCTCAGAGCCTGGAGCCTGCTTCCGGTTCTGTGTCTCCCTCTCTCTCTGCCCCTCCCCCGTTCATGCTCTGTCTCTCTCTGTCTCAAAATAAATAAACGTTAAAAAAAAAAAAATTAAAAAAAAAAAAACAACAGTACTTCGGTGCCCCCTGGTTGCCTGTAAAACAAAACTCCACGTCCTTGGCAGAGTCCAACTTTGCCCCAACATACCTTTCCACTTCCACAACCTTACCCTTCCATTGCCTTCCTCCATGGCCCCACCATTAGAGACCTACCAAGGGGCAGGAGACAAAGCTAGTGCCCACCCTGAAAGTGGGTGCTCTACCCCTGATACCCACAGCGAGGTAATCATACACAGTTCCTCTTCCTGGACTTTATTCATGCTCATCTCCCAATCTGGATCAGCTCAACTAAACAGGATGGCCCTTAAAAGTCTGCCACTGACCACCAACCAAGCTCACTGCGCCCTCTTCCCGCTTCTGAATAAAATGCCACTTTGATGCAGCACTTACCTGTTAAATCCATACATATGTGTATACATACCTACGTGCATACATAGGTACACATGTGCATGTATGCTTACACACACATGTGTGTGTGTGCGCGTGTCCTAAACCCCAGCTGCTTTGTAAATTCTTTGAATGAAGTTGTATTCATCACACACACCAGGCAGTATACCAGACGCCGTGCTTAGCTCTTAATGTACACTATTGCACATTAAAAACTCAACAAAAGCCCTGGGAGGTAGGTCCTCTTATTACCAATTTACAGATAAGATAACTAAGGCTCAGCTCACATAAATAGTAAGAGGTGGAGCCAAGATTATCTCTGCTCCTCACCCTGCTGGACAAGGACAGGATATAGTTCCCTGAACTGCTCCCAGGACTTAGCACAGGGCCTAGTAGCTCTTGATGGTGCCTTGCTTCCTTGTGGCTCAAGGAAGACCTGCTGGCTTGTGGTTACAAATTCCCAAGGAGACTGTTTCCCCCTCTTTTTAGAATGTCGTTGCTTTCAGGATATTCTAGCTCATCTCTTCTAGCTGACAGTGCGGCTCTCAATGTGTCTCCAATGTACCTCCTTGCTTTGCTCAGGCCCCATCTACACGGTGACCTCAAACCTTTGCCTTAGGCCACAGGGAATCAGCTGATGCCCCCTGGGTCACCATCAGCTTCAATCTTCCTTTATCTGTCTGGATTCTTGCTCCTCATTTTAGCCTTTAGGGATTTTCCTTTCTTGCCAGGCCAGCCAGGTACTATAGAAGATATTTCTTTTTTAAGTAGGTTCCATGCCCAATAAGGAGCTTGAACTCACCACCCTGAGATCAAGAGTCACATGCTCTATCAACTGAGTCAGCCAGGCATTCCAGATTTAATTTTTTACATTTTATCTAGTGGGAGGGTTTTTCAAAGATATCGACTCCACCATATTTTCATCACAGCACTCAGTACCACCACCTCTATTACAGATAATTAGTTGTTTCTCTGGTCAGATTTTGGCAATCAATCAATCAGTCTTCTTATCAGATATAAATCATGGGCCTATTGGGTTTCTCTTCTTGTCTTGGCTACCAGGAAGCTTAGGATGACACTGAATGATCTATCACAGTAATTATGTTCTTAATGTGTAGATTTCCCCTAGACTTTGATCACTGTGATTTTGGGCCCTGCACAGTGTTTTACATACATTATCCCACTGAATGTTCACAGCAACCTTAAGAAGTAGTTAATGTTATCCCCACTTCACAGATGAGGAAGCCCTAGGAAGTGAATTGCACAAGCTCATGTAAGTCACTTTGTAATGGGAGTGGCTGGGAATCCCACTGGGTTCCTGTGTGTTTTCTGCACCTTTCCCTCCTACTTTGCAATTCTGTGTCATCTTGAATCTGGGAACTGTCTTACTTCTCTTTGGAGTCCCAAGGCCAAGCATGGGGCCCAACACCAAGCAGGTTTCTCCTGGCCCATATAAGAAGTCTTTACCATGACCTCCCCACTCTGTCTCCTAAAGACCCAGCTCAGCAGCTACAGGTTCTAGAACGTTTCTCATTCATCATGGGGGAAGGAGGTTTGCTCATTAGGGAGACCCTAACAATGCTGGGCTCTTAGACCCTCCTAAGGCAGAATAACAGCCTCAAGTTTCAGAGAGAGCTCTGGCCTGGTGCTGCACCCTATTGGCTTAGTCCTGACTCAGGAGTCACACTGCTTGGGTTTGCCTCTCAACGATACCACCTACCAGCTGTGTGGCTTTGGGCCACTAACCCTCTCTGGACCTCAGTTTTCCCATTTATAGAATGGGGATAATAATGATGCCCATGTCATGGGTGCCTTTGAGAATATTAGACGAATTCATATCCATGAAGAGCTTACTGGAGTACCTGGCAGTTTGCCAACATTAGAATGGCAACTCCAGTAGACCTGGCACTTAGTGGGTCCTCAGTAAGTGCTAGGATGATGGAACCCTGGGCAAGTGCAACCTCTTGACTACAGGTACTTGGAACCCCTGAGAGCGGCAGCAAAGCTCCCTTTGTAAGAGCCTACTCCTGTATCCTCCCAGCGACCACTTCTGCCTGTCCAAGTGGCAGCAACCATTCCCCTTCAAGTAGAGTGTTGTGCCCAGGTGTGGGCAAAATGAAGCCCCCACAGAGCCCTCTGCTCCAACCCTTCAGGCCCAGAGGCTCTGATGCTCGAAGCCTCTCCCCCGCCTCCTCTCAACATTCTGACACCTTCTCTGCCTATCCGGATAGGCATCTCCATTCCTCTCTGGACAGCCCAGCCGCCTCTCTCCGCAGCCCTTTCACCGCACTCAGCCTCCCAGGCCCCGCCCCTACCAGCCCCGCCTCCTCCCTGCTCCAAGCCTGCAAACTCTGGCCACCCTGAAGGCAGGCCTCGGGAGCTCTGTGCTGCAGCCCCCAGTGCCCCGGTGTGGAATGGAGGGAGGTGACCTACCAGAGCAGGACATGTGGCAGCGGTTCTTGCCCGTGTCGCACCAGTCACGGTTGGGGATCTGAAAGAGGCCGTAGCCAGTGTAGTCACGTTGGAGGTTCTCGTAGACCGCCGTGGGGTTGAACTTGCTCTCAAAATAAGCCAGGCACACCCCTAAGATGGAACAGGAGGTGGGTGGCTAGGGGGAAGGCGAATTGGGGATGCCTGGGCAGAGGCCAGAGGAAAAGGAGGTGAGGAGAGAAGGGGCTTAGAGGGACGTACTCACAGTTTGCAAGGCTGTAGCCCTCGAAATGATCCAGGCCTCCATCCTTGAGCTTCTTAGCCACCACGCAGCGCCCCATGATAGCAGCGCCACTTGGAACCACTAGGTAGCCAAGGAGGGAAAGAACCATGGATGCCTTCATCTTCTCAGGTTCCTGGCAGTTCAGGGCAATAGTGGCCAGGTGAGCCTGGTTTCTCTAAAGGAAAAGAAGGGTGGGGGTCTGCGATTCAGTGTGTTCAGATAAAGGGGAGTCTCCCCTGGCTTAACCATGATACTTCTTCCCACCCTAATCCTCTGCTTTGTGTCACTGCAAATCCGGGACGCCCGAAACCCTACCTCTCCTCCTCTGCTTGACGCCCTATTTCCTAAGGAAATTGGTCTTGTGAAGGTCATACCCTCACATTCTTTCCCTCCAGCAAAACCCAAAGGCATCAAATCCTCTCTTCCCCTTTATTATGCAAGTAGAACTTGTTCATTAGGTACAAGTTAGAAAACAGGAAGAGAAGGAAAAACTTCAATGTGGTCCCACTACTCAAGCATTATTATTACGTTGAATTATTTACACCACTGCATTTTATCCTAGAATATATTCAGAGTTGTGGTCTCACCCTTTCCACAGTTTGTCCCCAGACTGTCTACAAATCAAACTCTGCTGAGCTTTTCTCCAGCTGTCCACACAAGGAGACAAACCCCGGTCCAGCCCAGACCTGCCACATAGCAGGGGTGTCATCACTGACAAAAGCAGACAAGTCCCTGAGCCTCACAATGCCTGTGCTTTCTCATCTGTGAGAACGGGGGTCATGTGTGGGGTGCTCAGAGAATTGACTCCTGAGTTTCTCCTTCTCCATTTCTGTTGTCACCACCTAAACCCCCTCATCACCATCCCCTAAAGCACCCTCATCATTATCCCCTGACCCACCTCATCACCAAACCTTAACCACCACCCTCCCAACCGATCACCATTCCCTGAGCCTCCTTCTGTACCTTCACCTAAACCCCCCTCATCACTGCAAGCTGAATGGTAACCCAGCCTCTTGGTCTCCACCCCTCCCAACTCTTCTAGATGGTGTTCTTTCCCTAAATTTATTTATTTATTTTGAGAGAGAGAGAGAAAAGGAGAGAGATTAAATCTCAAGCAGGCTCCGCATTGTCATCAGGAAGCCCAACCAGGGGCTCGAACCCACAAACTGAGAGATCGTGATCTGAGCCAAACTCAAGAGTCGGAGACCGCTTAGCTGGCAGTCACCCAAGCACCCCAAGGTGGTGGTTTCTAACATGAGTGACGAATGTCCCCAAAGCATATACAAAATGTTACTCTTGGAATGCTTCTAGTTCCCTAGTCCTTATCAGAGCAAACCCACCCTTGGCTTTCTAAGTCCTCCATAATCTGGCCTTACCCTGCCCTGCCTCCATCAGGAGGAATCATTCAGTCAACTCTGAATTCCCATGTTGCTCCTTCTCTGTTCTCTGCACCTCCCTACCCCACTCCCCACTGCCCATGCCCCTTTCCTTAGCATCTCCATGCATGGCTCTTCCCAATCCACAGGGCCCTACCATGCCTTTCCCCACCCAAACATTTCTCCATCTTCAGGTGTCCACTACAGGTGCCACCTCCTTGAAGCCTGATGCAATCCTGCATAAACATTCCCCCTCTAAGCCCCTACTGCCTTCAGAATCACCTCCAGAACCTAGCAGGTGATTGTCCTGTTCTGTGCTATGTCCTATCCCTCAGACTAGAATGTGCAATTGGAAATTACAACATAACTTCTACCTGGCATGCCCTACAGCCCCAACACTGCGTAAATATATGTTAATTAGGCAACTAATTGCATCCACCTGTTTGTTATCATTCACAGGTGTGTGCCTGTTCTCCAACCTACATTTACTGGCACAAGGGGTTCTTGACCTTGGCACTTGGGCTGGAAAATCCTTCTTCCTGGGGGCTGGTCTATGCATTGGAGTTTATTTGGGAGCACACCTGTCTCCAGGTGCCAGAAGCTCCTCCCCTTCAGTTGTGACAAACAAAAAATGTCTGCACACACTGCCAAACGTCTCCTGGTGGACAAAACTGTCCTCTGTCGAGAACTAATGACGCAAATGTCTAACTTGGGAAAAAGTTAGAAATTAACGAGTATAGTCCTGAATTAGAAGAATTTCACTTTTAAACATTTGTTTAAACTCTCAACTCACATGATTAGTTACAGACATCACTATTACACGACATACCCTATTGAGGAGGGCCTGGCATTTAAAGTGCTCAGACTTGGGAATCAGATTGCCTGGGTTCATATTCTGACTTTACCCTGTAATAGCTGGGATTTTAGGAATCCCAGGAATAATGGAAGACAGTTACTCAGCCTCTCTGTACCTCATCTAAATAATGATAAAAAATAATGCTTACCTAATTGTGTTGATTTAAAAGGTGAAAGAGTTAAATATGCAAAGTATTCAATCCCCAGAAGACACCTGTCTTTCTGAACTGTGGTCATACTCCTTGCCCTTAGCTTAATAACCAAATTCCAATGCATATTGGAAGAGAAGTCCATGCTTACATTTTCCAGCAGAGCAAAGGATATTTTCAGCAAAGGATATCCGTCTCCCAGACAGACTCATAAAAGGCGTACTTAATCTCCCTCCTTCCTTCTTCCCTTGCAGTGAATTCACTGGGAGTCCCGTCTCCTGTTCTACCAAAGCCTATCCACCTCCCACCATCTCCTCTGCCTCATGGCAGTTCAGAAATCACCATCAACTCTGACTTCTATAGAGGTTCCTAGATATACTCTGAAACCCTACAATCCTCTCCTGTTCCCCTATCCCTATTATCCACACAACAGCTAGAAAGTCCTCTTTAAAAACATATATCCAGGGGCGCCTGGGTGGCGCAGTCGGTTAAGCGTCCGACTTCAGCCAGGTCACGATCTCACGGTCCGTGAGTTCGAGCCCCGCGTCAGGCTCTGGGCTGATGGCTCGGAGCCTGGAGCCTGTTTCCGATTCTGTGTCTCCCTCTCTCTCTGCCCCTCCCCCGTTCATGCTCTGTCTCTCTCTGTCCCAAAAATAAATAAAAAACGTT